GCCTTGATTTCTGCAATACCACAACTCCCAGATTTTCTTCCTGCATCTGTGTTCACTATTTTTATGTCTCATTTGCAGACTGGACCTTCTATGCCAGCTGTTGGAATTCAAAATTCCACAAGCCTTGATCCTAGGACTCCTCTTTACTCTTTTTCTCATCCTTTCATTTTATTATTGGTATCCAATAGAACATCAAAAATGAACTTCAGGCTTACATATCTAACTTCTCATGACAGATCCATTTGGAAGCTCCTCAGGCACCTCCAACTCACAATGTATAATCTTTCTGCCCCAAAACTTGATCTTCTTTAAGTTTTTTTTCTCTCTTTCTCTTAGTGATACTCAAGTTTAAACTAGAAACCAAGGACTAACTCAGTCTAAAGCTCTTCTTTACTTTTTATATTTCAATAATAACCAAGTATTATCCATATATATATATACACAAGTATGTATATACATATACCTTGAATTTCTAGATGTCTCCCCATCTCCAACAGCATCTCCTTTTCGGCGCTATTTCTTACCTAGACGGATGCTATGTGCTCCTCAACAGTCGTATTATGCCCACTGATGATCCATTCTCCACATAGCAGTCTTAGTGATCTTTTAAAATCTGATTCCATTTCCAATCTGCTTCATACCTGCTTTAGCTTCTCACTGCTCCTGTGATGAAGAGAGAGAATGTGTTCGATATTCAGTGTGCCATGTTTGCCAGAGTTCTTGGTATTTTTAAGAAAAATAACACATAAGCATGTTAGTAGCATACTCTCTTTTCAAAAAAATAATAAGAACTACAAAAATAACTTACTATTGTATAGTGCGCTTTCATATGGTGTCTTCTTTGATCCCAATAACCCTGTGAGTTTGGCAAGGATACATACATTCTACTATGTAAACAGAAATTCAAAGACATTAAGTGGCCTTCATAGAAATGTATATTGCATTAATAAAGATATAAAACTTTGATAATTATGTCTTATTCAGCCCTAAATTATTCTGAAATTATCTATATATTCCTTAAGTGAAGGTAATAGTTAATTATGAGTGGTCAGATTTATAGAGAAAACAGCATCTTAAGCTTCATATTATATTTAGTCTGGAAGTTTGTTTCAAATACTTTTTTCAAACATTTTATAAGCTTTAAGGCTTTCAGAAAAATTCATGCTATGTGTATTTTTGTTTTTAAACCTGTGATTCGCTATATCCCCTTCAGTACTAAAATAATAATAATAAATCATAATACAAATAATAAAATGTTAAGAAATGTTAATGATCGGCCCTCCTTTTCAAGTCTTTGTTGCGATAGGTAAGTTTGCTAACCTAAAATAACCGAAAAGATTAGAATCTATTAATAATTTAAAGAGAGTTTATTCCAGCACAAATTGTGATGCCAGTCATCGGGGAGGCAGAGCTACATGGAAAAATGGTGATCAGTGCTCCCAGTATGGGGAAAAATGAGGATCATATATAGAGGTATAATGGAGGTGCTCAACAGAATTACATTTTCCATACAAAGGCCAACATGCGCATGTTATATTTGGCTACTATTAGTTACACTTTAAAGACTTTTTAAAAACATCTATCATAAAGAGGTAACAGTCACAGCATCTCTATCTTCATGTCATTTAATCTAGGTTTGAATAAAGAATAGGAAATCTGGCTAATGTATAACATCTCCACACAGAAGTCAGAAAGCAACAGTCATGCACCAGAGAAGAAAAACAGTCGTGTTAGGGGAATCAGCTTTCACAGCTTAACTTTTCCCTTTGGCATAATAAATTTTGAAGGTCCTGAATTTTTATTTTGTTTTATAAGTTGAATAGCTTAATAGGTCTCAATTCCAGAAATTTTCTTTGATTCCTACAACATTTCTGGGGAAGATCAATGTGGATCATACAAATATGATTAACCTCTACTCAAGAAAGATTAAATGAGAGAAAAGCTAGTGGTACCTATTTCATTTAACACTTACAACATGCAGGGTAATAAAAGTCAGAAAAAAGCCATACTCAAAATCCTAAAATGTCCTCTTTCTTCGCTTTCTGAATCTATATGTAGAATTCTAGAGTAACCAAGCAATTATTACACTCCCCCCAAAAAAGCCTACAAAGGCAGTGATGGCTTTTAGTCATATCTCCAATATCCTTCCCTCACACAATTGTGTTTTACTGCTGGAATTGAGAGATGTGAAGAAGTAACTGCGTTAAATTGAAAATTATGGTCAATGAACGACAGCAATAAAACAAGTGAACAAGCCATAGAGAAAGAGTGTTAGAGATATGACCTCCAGGTACCCAGTGCCTGGTGTGTGACAAACAGATAATCATGTTTTTTAAATCGGGCTTTTATATTTATTATGTGAATCAAAACAATTTGGTCGTATTTTCTATCTGAACATATTTTGCAATTATAAGAATAATAGAAATGCTTATATCTTCTCCAGACAGGAGAGAAGATGAATGAAGCTGTACTAAAATCATAGACTATAGATTCCTGGAAATAAGCAGTTAACAAATAAGAGATACTTAAATAACTATGGAAGGTAGAATTTTAAAGGAAAATATATTTTATAAAATCCTTATTATGCCTGTTAAAGGTTAGTATTGTAGATCCGACATTTTAAAAGTGAAATAATAATTTCACATTAATTTAAAATTAAACTATATACATCTTTAAAGGATAAAGTAGCAATATTTTTTAAAGTTTGTTATTTTCAATTGTACTAAAAAAGTTTGATATGTGTTTACCATATGAAGTACAGCAAAATATTAATGAGGGATGCATTCACATACTATTATAAAATGTAATTATCTACTTTTAAGTTATTTATGTTTTCTAAATGGTGTTTAAATTAGAAAGTACTACTTTTAATATTTAAAAAAGAAAAAATATAATTATACTTTTAAATTGATTAGTAACATTGTAACCATTATGTCTCCCCTTTCTTTGGGACAAAAATGCTAGTCCTCAAGTTTTATTTGCAGTTAACTCATCAATGGATGGGACATATCATGAAGTAGAAATCAAGTAACTAAAGCTATAAGATATATTGATTGCTAATGTTCTTATAACTGAAACAAAGGAAAGAATTTAGATAATTTTACAACCACTACAGGTAAAAATAATAACTTACATACATTTTTAACTATTTGCTTGATTCTGGCCTCACGAGAGTACCCCCATGTTATGATATGGAACTATATCGCTGTCCTTTAAAGACGTTCCCTTTAAGTTGTCAACTGAGTATGCAGTTTGATTATAACAATTTTGTGCAGTATCATTTATAGACTTGGGTTTTTCTACTATTAGTCATAGGTTCACTAAACCAAAAATGATGTACTTTTTATTTTTTCACCTAAAATTCCTTCAATCTATAGGTGAGCTGTTAGCTTTATTTTATTTTGTATTGTAGCCTCGCTTTATCCTACATATTAGCAGAAAAAGTTTTTACTGTGGAAAGAAAGTGAATTTGTTCTAGCGATCCTCATTATGTTACTGTTTTGGACAGATAAATGAGACAATGCAAGTTCCGATTATTGGTCTTAATGATCTCAGTAAGAATTTCTTCATAACCTTAAATATTTCTTGCATTTGCCTTTTCTATTCCCCAGATTTCATTATTTAACTTAGAAAATAAAATGACATGTGACCACATCTTCCCAAACATATGATGCTATCGATCTTATTTGAAAGAAAGGTGCTCTGTCTGCTTTCTTTTAAATGTTGAGCCATTGATCTCTTAGCATGTTTTAGTGTTTCTCTGGAGAGTAAAGGTTAACATTTCTACTCTTTCTTAGCTCTGATACTATTCTTGTCTTTAAAAAGCATTCGTTGTACCTTTACATTTTTTACAGTAAATTATAAGGTATTTCTTCCCATTTTATCTTTGAAATAGTGTCCAGATTTTACTCAGTGTTATTGTGCACCTACGATAGAAGTAGAGGTAGTATCACATTGAAGTCTTTGCACACGTGGAAATAAAAACATACTTAATTTGTAAAAAAGTTTGCCTATTGGTTTGAAAATAGTTTTGACTTTTTATGACAGTGAAACTAGTATGACAAATATCCTTCTTGTGTTTATAGCTTCAGTACTGTTTTCTGTATTTGTGTAATAATTAAATGAAGATACGTGTTTCACAGGTGAGCTTTCAATAAGGAAATGCTAACCTTTTTCATGTTTATGTTTTAACAGTGCCTTCTGAACAAAACCCATTTTCTTTCTATAGTAATGAAATCCTAGTAAAGCCCTACTGAGAATTTTCAGTTGGATATAAAACTATTCAATTTTATTGGTCCCGAAATCTTTATTTGGTAGACCTGAATAATAGATTTCTGGTTGTCCTGAGGCAGCCTAAGATAGGTTCTGTGGTGACAGATTGTTTCTCAGTGGAAATGTAGTCATCCTTATTTGTAACGTTCTTATTTGTAACAAATTCCCCTCATCTCCTCAACCTGTACCTTTGTGTATCCTTGGGGGTTAATGTGACATCTGTGTCAACCAAGTTGGAGATAAACAAACAAACTCTTGCAGTCTTACAGTGTCAATTTGTGTCCAGTGTCTCTCTCTCCCAAATTTGATGTTATAGTAATGTTAAAAAATAAAATTGTACACATGAGATACTCATGCAAGATACAAGCACAAAGCACTGTCCTTATTAATCTTGTTTATTTTCTCTTTTATTGATTACTTTCTATGATTTACTAGTTGCATTCTTGAATAATAAGACTTTTTAAATATATTAATTAAATAAATCTATACTATACCTGGAAATATGATGAGGAATTTCTATGGGAAACTTTTTATACAGATTTTGATTTGGGGGATATATATATATATATAAACATACATATATATATATATATCCCTATTATTAGTAATATAATTCTAAGGTGGGATGAGTAAATTAAATACAGTCTATTGTGTCTAAATATTGTAGGACCACTTGGAAACTAAGGAATACCTTTCTTATGATCAAAATATATTTTATTTTCTCCCAGAAATCAAAAATATCCACGTATGACAAAATGTGGGCCTTTATGAGTAGCAGGAGGCAGTCAGTGCTGGTCAAAAGTAATGAAGAAGGAATTCAGCGAGTTCTCACCTCTGATTATGCTTTCCTAATGGAGTCAACCACCATCGAGTTTGTTACCCAGCGGAACTGTAACCTGACACAGATCGGCGGCCTTATAGACTCCAAAGGTTACGGCGTTGGCACTCCCATGGGTAGGTTATATGTCAGCCACTTGTTCTTTGTTCATTAATCTGAGTTACTGTGGGAAGGGGATATGTGCTTCCACATATGCCATTAGAAATTTTGTTTTTACTGAATGCATCCTGCTGCCTTATGTTACTGTATAAATGCAGGCTAACAATTTGGACCTATGCTTCTAAGTAAATAAGTAAAAAAAGAAAAAATAATATTAATATCTATCAAAATGGTCAGTAGATATTTTTACTGTATCCTGTTGAAAAATCTACAACCTACCCCTAAAAAACCTTCTCTTCTCAATTTTACATTTAAAAAAAATGTTTTATGAATACAATAAGGTTTTGCAACAATTTTTTTTTAATTTGTGCCTTTTATGTATAGTGTTTGATTTAGCGAGTTAACTGGTAGAGTGAGGCACAATTGATTCCGATGAATGTTATTTAATTGTTTCCTTTAAAGGAAGGTATGAATAGCAGACTATTTATCTCTGATATATGTAACATAATCTAACATTTAACATCCAGGGTTTATTATCTTTAATATTTCCCTTTTTCCATATGACAAAATTATTTTGAGCCAAAATAACTGCATGAAATAAAGCATAATAATTTCCGGAAGGGCCGGGCGCGGTGGCTCACGCCTGTAACTTTATCACTCTGGGAGGCCGACGCGGGTCGATTGCTTGAGGTCAGGAGTTCGAGACCAGCCTGAGCAAGAGCGAGACCCCGTCTCTCTAAAAAAAAAAAAATAGAAAGAAATTAGCCGGACAACTAAAAATATATATATATAAAATTAGCCGGGCATGGTGGCACATGCCTGTAGTCCCAGCTACTTGGGAGGCTGAAGCAGAAGGATTGCTTGAGCCCAGGAGTTTGAGGTTGCTGTGAGCTAGGCTGATGCCATGGCTCTCTAGCCTGGGCAACAGAGTGAGACTCTGTCTCAAAAAAAAATAATAATAATAATAATAATTTCCGGAAAAAAAATGAAAATTTTGATTATATATATATGTGCAAACATGTATGAATATGTATATATTTGTGCCAAAAATAAATAAATACAAACTATTACAGCATATGAGTACATTTGGTGGACAGAATAATGGTTCCCCAAAGATGTCCATGTCCTAATCTCCAGAACCTGTGAATATGTTACCTTACATAGCAAAAGATGATTAAGGATCTTGCAATGGAGGAATTATCCTGTATTAACCAAGTGGTTCCAATGTAATCACAGGGCTATTATAAAAGAGAGGCAGTGGAGTAGAGTCAATATTAAGATGCAAAGGTAGAAAAGAGAGAGGGAGTGGGAGGGAGAAAGGGAGGGGAGAGGGAAAAGGGAGAGGCAGGAAGAAAGGGAGAATAATAAGAGGAAGAGGAATAAATAATTGTTTATTTATTATTAATAGGGATTTTAGTCAGATTTATTAATTTATCTTCACTCAATTTTATTAATTTTTTTCCATATGGACACTTTCCACCTCATTTTATTTCTTTGTTAGTAAAAGCAGGAGAACCAAAGTGCTAGGCTATTAAAAGACAGCTTTTGGTTAATTATTATAATATATATATATATATATATGTATATTTTATTACCTATGTTCCCTGTCATTTGTTCTTCTATCCATAAAATCATTATTTTTTTAATTAATCACTTTTATTTCCATCTTTAAAAAACATATCTTTGAGATAGTGTGTACTACATCTTTTCTTTTTTTACTTCAAATATTAAGGGGATACAAATGTTTTTGCTACATGGATACCTTTTGCAATGTTTGAGTCAGAGCTGTAAGTGTACCCACCACCCAGATAGTGTTCATTGTACCCATTAGGTGGGCTTTTGCCATTCCCCTTCCCACTTCCACCTGCTTGATTTCCCATGTCTTTTACTTCCCTCTATGCACATGGGTGCTCCTTTGTTAGTTCCAATTTATTAGAGAATACATGTGGCGTTTCTTTTTTCATTCTTGGGATACTTCACTTAGGATAATGGTCTTCAGTTCTATCCAAATTGCTGCAAAATGCATCGATTCATCCTTTTTAATGGCTGAGTAGTACTCCATGGTATACATATATCACATTTTGTTAATCCACTCATAAACTGATGAATTGATCAACCCACCTGGGTTGATTCCACATCTTTGCAATTGTGATTTGTGCTGCAATAAATATTCGAGTGCAGGTGTCTTTTGGATAAAATGACTTATTTTCCTTTGGGTAAATACCCAGTAGTGGGAATCCTGGATTAAATGGTAGGTCTACTTTTAGTTCTTTGAGAAATCTTCATACTATTTTCCATAGAAGTTGTAATAATTTGCAGTCCCACCAACAGTGTACAAGCATTTGTTTCTTTCTCTCTACATCCACTCCAGCATCTATTTTTTTTGGACTTTTTCATAAAAGCCACTATAACAGGGGTAAGGTGATATCTCATTGTTGTTTTGATTTGCTTTTCCCTGATGATTAGTGACATTGAGCATTTTTTCATATGTTTTGTGGCCATTTGTCTATCTTCTTTTGAAAAACTTCTGTTTATGTTTTTTGCCCACTTTTTAATGGGGTTGTTTGTTGTTTTCTTGCTGCTTGGTTTGAGTTCTTTGTAGATTCTGGATATTAGCTCTTTATCAGATATATAGTTTGTGAATATTTTCTCCCATTCTGTAAGTTGTCTATTTGCTCCATTGATTATTTCCTATTAATTTTGAAGAATTTCTTACAAAGGAACTGACAGATATATAATATTAGAAAGTTGAGCACAGATTCATAAAAATTTAGTTTCATAATAAATTCCAGAAATTACAATAATATTCTTTGGTTCTTTGGGATCATTTCTGACAACTTTCAAATGTATAAGAAGTCCAGGAATTTTCTACCATAACAACTTCATGAAAAATTTTAACATTAAATCCCATTATATTTGATAAAATCATCTGAAATTAATTATGGTTCAAAATATCTTGAACTGGCTTTGAGAAAATTTTGAGACAATAATTTCTGTGATATTATATATTCCTGAATTTATACAGTAGATTCAAAATAAGGAATGATTGCACAGTCATTGTAGGAATGAAAAAACAACAACAACAAAAAACATAACTTGAGTTCTTATTGCCAAAAATGGCAAGTGTAACTGTGCCTAAGTGTATTGGGGGGTCAGCGGTATAATGGGAATTCTCCAATTTAATTTTCCAGTATTATACACTGTTTGTTAAAGGATAAAAGACAAATATATGCTAATTTGAAAGTCAATAAGGGCTGGGTTGTTAAATATCAACAATAATATTTAGAACTTAGACCAAGAAAAGATATTTTTAATTGAGGAATATTTTATCTTTGACATGATAATTGATGCTATTTTGTTTTTCAACTCTCCACAGAAAATGTACCCTCTTTATTGACGGCACCAGAAAAAGACCTACCAAATCTTCATCCTTGTCATGCCTATATTATTTATACATTCAAAAGTTTGAAAATTAATTTTAATATACGACACATATATTAAAATGATTAAGTTTTAACAGTTATAGTTTTGAGGAACATATTTTTTTCAAAATGTTTTAAATTATACTTATATCCCCCCAAGTAAGGCTTGGGTTTATTGCCCTAATTGTGTGTTGATCAGGTGCTCCAGCCTAGGCATTCTTGGTAGTTAGGTCAGCTGTGCTCTTTCCCTTAGTAAAAATTGCATACTGAAACCAGAAACTTCATGAGTTATTGCACCACTTACTTGGAATTTGTAATGCACAACTTCTTTAATAATTTTTTTTTACTTCAGCATATTATGTATGTGGGTACAGATGTTTAGGTTACGTATGTTGCCCTTGCCCCCGGCCCAAGTCCGAGTTTCAAATATGTCCATCCTTCGGGTGGTGCGCATTGCACTCCTTGTGTATACAAATACCCGTCCCCTCCTCCCTCCTCCCCTCTCCCCCCGCCCCCCCAACATCCAATAGATGTTATTCTTATATGTGCATTTATGTGTTGATGTACTCACCATCAAATTGGTATTAACTAATAATATTTTAAAGATACTCTTTTGGTGAAAAATTATATATTCTTAAGATAGAGACTGATAATATGTTAATATCATCATGTATCATCTACACACTGATATTCTGGACTTATCTTTGCCATTTACTGTGTTCTTGGCAAGTCACTTGAAATTTATGGCCTCTGGGTTTCTTTTTTTAAACTAGTAAAATAAGAGGGTTGCACTGAATTCCATTTGAATGCTAAACTTATAATAATTTGGAAAATGTGCTTGACATATTCCCAGAGTTTGGTCTTAATTCGGCTAGACACTACATGGAGAAATATGGTTAGCTGTCATCTTAGAACACGTTTTAAAAATTAGGCACACTCTTAACGTAGTTCTGAGAAGTGGAAGCAGTGATTTTTTGGGAACTCATTGCCCTATAGTATATGATTTAGGAAAAGCTAAAGTAAACAAACAAAGCTTTCAGGGTGGTTTTTATTTTGTCTTAATATTTTAGTTTTTACTATTCTTTTTTCAATTTTTTTATTTGTACAAACTTACGAGGTACATGTGCAATTTTGTTATGTACGTAGATTGTGTAGTGATCAAAGTCAAGGCTTTTAGGATACCCATCACCTAAATAACATACATTGTACACATCAACTAATTTCTCATCATCCACCCTTACCCCGCTCAGTGTTGTTTCGGAAAGAATTGGACTTCTGTATGTCACTGCCATCCTCTGCTAGTTTGCGTTATCTGGACGAGGGCATAGATTGTCTCTCTTTTGCTGTTGTCTCTCATTGTTGCAAGCCACGCAACAACAGAGAAGGTACCCCATGGACACTCAATTACTATTTGTTGAACAAGTGAATTCTGTATCTGGAAAATCTGATTGTGCACCCAGATTTATAAAAAGAGAAAACAAATCACTTCTAGAGGTAGTGATAAGCATGGCATACTACATTATTAAATGTGATGACCTCATTAAATACATCTGAGTAATTCATGGCAGTAAGAATTACATAAAATTTAAAGAGGA